AACCTTCTTCCAAAAGAAAGAAAATGGTTCCTTTATTGGATTGACTTCAGAAAAAAAGGGAGGGGGAAACACCCTTGAAATCCCCGTTTCTTCAGCTTTTATTTTAACCTCTACTTCATTACCAAACTCGGTTGCCTGCCATGTGAATTTTTGCAAGCATTGCAAACAGCTCCCTGAGTCTCTTCCACACGGTCCCTCGCTGACCACTAACAGTGGAGAATTTTTACACATCAAGCAACCTTTTGGGGTTCCATTTCGTTTCTTTTAAAAACGGGGGGGGGGAGCTCCTTTGCAGCCCGTGGCTTCACCAGTCATGAGGTCAGGTATTTACATTTCAGCCCAGTGTTTGTCGTAACTTTCAAATGGGGGGACTGCCGGCAGACAGTGTTTACCGCAGGGCAGAGACAGTCGGGAATGTAGGCCTCAGCGGGTGCAGAGTCCTGCTCAGTTATTTACATTAGAATCTGCACATTGTCAGATCTTTGGTGAGTGGCTTTCTGCCGCTACAGTAGTCCCATCGGTGTGGGTTTTTCTTTTACAGAGCAGCTTGGCTTCGAATGTTCCAGTCTAAAGCTTGAAGCAGAATTCCAACTTCAGGAGATGTTCTGAAATTGAGGTCTTGATAGAGCGTGTGCAGAGTGAGCCTCTGTGGGTCTCCTAATCCTGGCATGGGGAAGATGTCTTTTTCAGAAGCTTGAATCTGGGGGGAAAAAATAATTACACCAAGAGCTGGGTTCCCACTTGGGTGAAAGAGGAGACTTTGAGAACTTGTAGCTTCTCCCTTCATAGCGCAGAAGCAGTAGATGAGGAGGAGGTGTGCCCCTGGGCCAGGCTGTAGCACACTGGTAGAGGGCACCCATAACTTGTAGAAAGTCCAAATTTCAGCTCCAAGTATCTACTTCAGAGGGATCCGGTCTGAACTCTGAGATTTGAAATTGCTACAGTTGAGGGAGACAAACCTAGGCAATGTCAGCCGACAGTCCAGATTTAGAGAACATCATAGATTCCACTTCTGTTTAGCAGGAGGACCATCAATCATGGACTTTCCATGAGGAAACTTCTGGGTTCAGTCTCCAGTGTTTAGGGCAGATTGGGAAGAGCCCTTGCTGTTCAACTGGGAGAGGTGTTCCCAGGCAGGTTGACAGAATTCCCACGGGGTAGATGTGCATCTTTCTTTCACTTCAGAGCTTGGCTAAATCCAGCAAACGTGTGTTTCTGCTGTTCCCTGTTTACTCCTTAAATGAACCCAACTTTGCACTAGGGCTATATTTACAAGAGAAAATCCATGGAGAGCAGGATCTTGATCAAGGAGAACATGCACATTTGAGTTGGGACCCAAAAGGTGGGGCGCTTGGGTGTTCCTCTCCCTTCTACCTTTTTCTAGGAGCGAAACTTTCCCTCTAAGAAGATAAAGCAAAGATGCTTTAGCATAAAAATAGTCCAGGAAAAAAAAGAATCCCACAGTGTCACTGGGGACAGTTGGATCACTTTGGTAGCTCTTGAGCGGGATGTTGGCGCTCCTTTCTCCAGCAGGCAGCCAGACTGGAGAATCTGTCTTTGAACCAAATAAATCTCAGGCTTAAAAAAACTACTGTTCTGTGCCCTTTGCTTCTTTTAAGACCTCTGGCTTGACCACCAGGAGGAGCACTAGTGAAGCTGGTAGAGTCCTTGACAGCCTGAAGTCCCATTTTTGAGATTGGCCAGGAATATTTGGGCAGGGTCCCTTATTCACCCTCCCCTACCACAAGACGCATAATCTCAAGCCATTCCTCTACATGCAGACTGAGAAGGGGGTTCTATTAACTTCAGTGGGACTTAGCATAACCCTTTGAAGGAAAAGCTGTAGCAAAACAGTAGGACACCATCTTTGCCTGTACCGTAAAGGCTTCCTGTTCAGTTCTCAACATGTCCAAGTAAGGTTGGGATGTGAAGCCTCCTGTCTGAAGCCCCAGAATTGCTGCTGCTGCTGCTGCTGCTGCCACCGCTGCTGCCGCTGCTGCAACTATGAACCAGGCAGGCTGGTAAATTGAAAAAAGCCATTTCTTGTTTTCCTGCAAAGTATTTTTGGCTCCCTCCTGCCAGTGTCAGGCATGTATCTTGGGGTGGGCAAAGTGGAGGGAGGTGAATCAAAATTCTGCTCCTTTTTTTTTTGTTTAAGTTTGCCTATTTGTTTTATCCTTTGGGGAGAGGAAAAAAAGCATCTCTGAATATGCATCAGCCTCATTGCTTATTTTAAGCATCAAGGTAGACTTTTTTCCTTGGCACAGAAGCAAGATAATTAGTTTGGTGTGTATGTGAGGATGGGGGTGGTGGGGTTGTCTCTGGCTTTATTTACAACATCGCTAGTCTAGGATCCCTGCCAAGAATAATCTGAGTACCTTCTAGTCCTATGAGCGTGTCTTAGGAAAGGGGATGTGTTTTTCATTTAAAAAAAGATTCTGAAAAACCAGAGATGACTTTAAAGTGTTGCTTTGGATCCTTGTTTATCTGATGTTCATCTGTTTGCCCCTTTGGCTCTCAGTTTGCCTTTGTAAGTCATTGCTCATATAATTTAGGATACAATCCTAGGACACTTTCCTGGGAAGAAATCCCATTCAGTTCTGTAAGAGTCACTTCCAAGTAGACCGACCCAGCCTTGCTTCAAGCTGTGCAACTAAACAGTCCCAGCTACCAAGTCAACGTGTGTTGGAGCAGGGCAGATTGGTTGATGGAGTTCTTCTCCTGCTGCCCCTCTCAGATCTTCCTGCCCTCTCTCCACTCAGACTTATTTTGAAGACTTCTATTCACATCACGTTTTCACAGTAACTTACCAAATAAAACAGCATTCATCAGCAGAGACTCTAGGACAGTTTCTGTATAGGAAGACAGGGTTCTTGCTTGAAGGGCAAAGGATAAATCCTTAAAAGAAATTAACTCTCTCCTATGTATCAATAACACACTGCTTCTTCAGGTATGGATTGCTAAGTAGCCAAAATGACACCATCCACACAGGAGAACCTTAAGATGTGTACATAAAACAATGAGTCTGCTTGTTTGGAGTTTGAGGAGATGTAGTCCCAAGCCAGATGACTCTAGCTTGGGAAGGCTGCTGTGGGTAGCCAACTGAGGCTCATACAAACTCTGCGAAGAACTTTTTAGCCATAAGAACCTAAGAAGAGCCCTACCTAATCAAGCCAAGGGACCATCTAGTCCAGCCATCTGTGCCACAGTGAACAGGAAGATGCATCTAGGAAGCTCACAAGGAGAGAGATAGTCCTCTTCTAATGTTGCTGTCCAACAGTTGGTATTGAAGGTATGATACCTGTGATTCAGAAGGTATAATGCAGCCATCAAGATTAAAAGTCATTGATAGCCCAAGAAGTCCACATTTAAAGGTGGTGACCTAAATTGTGGTCATCGCCACATATGACAGCAGATATGGTCAATTGACTAATTAATAAAGTTAATTATTAATAAAGACAGAAAAGTATCTGTCTTTCCTTAGAATACCTGTTCTATTCTTCTGGGCTTTGTAATAGTATGTGGTTTACAAATGTATTAAAAAGCAAGTACAGATTTGTAGATAATATTAATCTGTTGAAGTGAATATGAACAATCAACTAAGAATTCTTGAAATATTCATCTTAATATGTTACATTTGTCCCCGTATCAAACATCTCTTTTGGAGCAGAGAGATGAAATAAATCAATGTTAATGAAATGTAAATCAGACAAGGATTCTTTGGAAAGCCATAATAGGATGAATCTTAATTAGGACGGATTAAATGCTAGAAAATAACAAGTTCTGAGAACTTAATCAGGTGGAAAAGTTCTGGAGAATTTGGAACCTTTGTTCACAACTTGAGATTTGGGCTGGTCCTCCTGTGGTGTAGTAACACCAGTGCATTTTGGAGATTGAGTTTTCTCAGGAACCAACATGGCTACAAATGTTTTTTTTTCCCCCTGTGTTCCACTGAACCCCACAGAACTCAATGGTGAATTTCAGACTGGATCATTGGCAGCTTAACATCTTGGCTCCCTCACTTTTGAATATTGTCCATCGCTAATGCTTTGCTGCTGCCGTGATGCTGACCTCTGCTGACCGTTCTCAGCATAGAACAGCCTCCTTCTGACAGGTTTCACCTGGGAAGTTGACCGGTTGAATTAGAAGGGTCACTGGAGGCAAGTTGGCAGCAAAATATCCCAGCATGGAGGATTCATGTTTCTGTTTCTCCCCATCCAAACCATCAGCCCTTTTCAGCTACTCTGTGTAGATATTTTTCCTCTGAAGATTTTTTGTTGCTGTTATTGTAGATCTGAAAACTACAGAAACCTGAATAATTAAGCCTTCTTTTAGTATATAAAAATACACTCTCACAATGATTAAGGAATACATTAACATGAATGTTACATAATGTGTTAATTTTAAGCATCAGTGTAATTGATTTTACTATGCCAATTATCACGTCAAAAAAACCCTCTTCTTCAACAAGTTATTGATTTGTTTTAGGGTGTTTATTAACTCCAAATGGTTGATATGTAATATGCTGGCCCATTTTCTAGGCTTCTTTTCATAATGTGAAAATAGAACATTGTGATCCTTCTATGAGAGGTGCTTTCTAAATTTTTTAAACAGATTTTAAGGGAAACCAGCACGCCACCCTCCAATCTCCCACAAATGTTAACTTAACAAATGTTAAATACCTATTAAGCTCTTAATATGCTTTTATATTCATTTGGTTTCCCCAACATGGCATGCTTTGCAGGTGAAGGACTATAACTCCCTGCCAGCATATTTGAAGGGCTTAAGGTTAAGATAGAGAGATCCTTTGAAGTGATCTCAGTAACCCTTTTTGTAATCAGCCATGCAGATGCCATGATCCAGCATTGAAGATGTGCTGATTCCCTCTTGCTCTGTTCCAGGAATGTGAGAATGGTAGCATTCAACCATGAATTGATGCACTTCCTCAAAGCAAGACCCAATTAATGGATACACTCTTTCTTTTGTGTCCTCCTGTCCAGAATGTGGCAGATCAGGTCGCATTCCACGTCGCTGGTGGGTTTTCCGCTCTGGAACAAGTCCTTCAAGTGGCGACAATGTCCAACAACTTGAACACCGTTTCAAGAATCCCTATGAAGTAAGTCTCCTGCTCTATTGCCATTTTTAGACCAGTCAATAAATTAAGTCATTTGTGGTCAGGATGACTTTTCTGGCTCCTGTTCTACCTGGCTATAGTCTTCATAGCTCTGCATCTGTTGGATGGTTTATAGAGATTTTCATGGCTGTGTCCTACTTCAGAAGTTCTATCAACAAGGCAGGACCTGGCTCAAAACAACATTTCCAAAGTCTGGGCGTGCATCTCTTCTTCTCAAGGAGATAACAAGGTGCTGTCTTCAACACAGCTAGACTGAAGCCCAAAATGAGTCAGTATTCTCTTACCCTAACCCACTTGGTAACGCCAGGTGGTCTCACCTTCTCAGGTTAGGCTAAAGAACCATCCCTTTTATGGAAGAACCCAAGGTGTGAAACACTCCCTTGCAGGAACAATGGAGGCGTTCTCTAAATAAAATCCATCTGTGGATCTGTACTGCTCCCCAGATTTAAGTTCATAAAAACAGAGTGGTGTGGGCGGTCCACAGAGTCCATATGACTCCTCCCCCAGGCGTTTTGCTGCTGTTACTGGGGGTTCCCCCTCCTGCTGACTCAGTGACAAAACCCAGAAATTAAGTGGAATGAAACTGGAAAACAACTGCGAGCAAAACAGGCACTTTGCAAAGTTTTCAGAACCATTCTGCTTCGGCAAGGATCTTCTGTGCTTGCACCTGCATGTTCAGGAGACCAGCCAAGGGCCTCTGAGCAGCCACACCATGCCTTCAAGAGACGCAGCAGCCTTTCCAAAAGTACGAATGCCCGCTAGAGTTTTCATTCCCCGTTTTTTCTTTTGGTAGAAAAAAGCTTGACTTCTCCTCCCCTCTAAAAAAGATCCCCAGGCCGAATCATTTGGCCTTGTCCCCTCCTGTGGTTTTTGTGGCCCTTGTACTCCTAGTGTAGTGGTTAAGGTGTTGGTCTAGGAGCATAGAGACCCAGGTTCTAGTCCCGCTTTAGCCACAGAAGCCCACTGGCAGACTTTGGGCCAGTCCTTCTCTTTCAGCCTAGCCTACCTCATAGGGTTGCTGTGGGAGAAAATGAGGAGCGAGCGTGAGGTATGTTACCTTCAAGTCCTGAAGGAAAGGCAGAATATAGCATCTAATAAATCTACATTGGTAATACCAGCTAACGTAACAGGATATATTATTGCGGATTCCATAGATGATTCAAGCGTAAAGAATCTCCATGTTTAGGTCTAAACAAGCTTTGATGCCTGGAAAGTTCCCAAAGAGAACTCTTCTCTTCTCTTCTCTTCTCTTCTCTTCTCTTCTCTTCTCTTCTCTTCT